GGTAGTTCCATCTAGTGAACAGTTGCGTAGTTTATTTTTAGGCGAATGTCATGACGCAACTGGGCACTTTGGCTACAAGAAGACGAGTGCTAACTTAGTACAACGATTTTGGTGGCCCAGAATGCTAGATAACGCAAAGAAGTATGTTGAGACCTGTCAGGTCTGTCAGCGGGACAAGCCGCGAACTCAAGCACCGCTTGGGTTATTGAAGCCTTTACCCATTCCTGATGGTCCATGATTGAGTGTTTCCATGGATTTCGGACACCCTTGTGACCAGCAAGAGTGGTAAGAGGCACATTTTCGTCATCATTGATAGATTCACCAAGTACGCTAGACTAATACCAATGCCAGAGACATCCAGGACAGAGTATGTCATCAAGTTGTTCAAGGACAACTGGGTAAGGGACTTCGGTTTACCGAAGACCATCATTAGTGACCGAGACGTCCGCTTCACAAGTGAACTGTGGAAGAAGACTGCAGAACAGATGGGCAGTCAACTTCAAATGACTTAAGGGAATCATCCTGAAGCCAACGGGCAAGCCGAACATATGAACAGAGTGGTACAACACTTGCTGCGGCATTCCATCAAGCCCAGCCAAGATGATTGGGATGAGTAGTTGCCTCTCATCGCCAGCTTGTACAACAATGCTATTCATGGTAGTACCGACGTTAGTCCTAACCAGCTGCACTTAGCCTAGATCAGCACTAGACTTTCTCCTACCTGAAAACCGACCTGCTGCAACTCCAGGCACACTTGAATACGGTGTGCAATATGAGAAGTTGTTGCGCGAGGTTGTTGAACATATGAAGAAAACTCAGCAAGCCATGATTGCTTCCGAGAATCAACATCGCAGACAGTCCACATTTCAGGTGGGGGAACGTGTCTGGGTCAAGGCTAGCGAGTTAGGACAGGAGTTCGGAATATCTCGTAAACTAATGCCTCAATACTTTGGTCCCTGGGAAGTCTTGGATGTAGTGGGAGATGCAATGGATGGTCCTACGTACGTCATTCGTGTCCCTGGTCATCTACGCACTCACCCAGTTTTTCATGCCTCAAAGCTTGCACCTTTCGCTGAGACAGTTCAATTCCCTTCTAGGAGATCGATGCTGCCCCCAACCATGGATGGTCAAGTTGACATCGACGACATTGTGGATCACAGGGACATGCCTGTTCCAAAGCCGCTGGGCCGAGGAAGACCTCCCAAGCCCAAAAGAGAGTACCGCGTCAGATTCAGGCATCACACGGATCCAAAAGAAGATCGTTGGTTTACCAGGGAGGAACTGATTGACACAGCTCCTCAGGTGGTGGCACACTATGAGAAGAAACTGAAAGGGAAGGCGCCTGAGAAGTAAGCATCTCGGCGGACTTTCTAAGCTAAGGGGGATGGAATGTGAGGATTGAGCCCTCAAGTAGGGGCCTTGCCATGATGTACATGTTCTGGGCTAAGGCCCCAGCAAGCCTAGTGCCCGCCCTAAGTGAAGGCGGGCCAGCAAATCGACAAGAGCCCTCTGTGTAACATTTCACGAAGTGGGGTYCATACAGTTGCAGCACGCCAGTTGGTTGGAGTGCACCGAGTCTCGGATTTCAGCAAATGCTGAAAGCCCAGGGCCTCTGAGTTGGTTAGGCCCTGGGCATCTGAACGTGAGGCCGACAATGCATGCTGGAAAGAGAGGCGAAAATGCCAAAGGGAAATCGGCCCACTGTCTGAATCTGGCCGCAGGCCTTGATGAAGGAGGCCCAACTGCCTTACCCCGGGGCCCAACTGTATCGAGTTGGCTTCAGCCTCTGGGCCCCGGTCACAGGCTGAAGGGAGGCCGCCCACACACTGCACTGGCATATAGGCAAGCAGGGCGAGGCAGCGGGGATCTTGGCCAATGCTGGCATATGCGGGCACGCTGCGCGGATGCAAGTGTGCAGCGCTATGCAGAGCAGCGCAGCGCTAAGACAGAGCAGGCCAGCGCTAGGCGGTAGGGCGCTGTYTGCATGCAGGGCACTGGCGGCCATAGCCGGGCCGCMAGAGGGTGCRGGGGAGGTGAGGGCRAAGGTGGTACTTCGGAGGTGAAGGGCGCTGTGTGGGTAACAAGGGAGAGTGTGGGGAAGATGACACGTACCTGGTGATGGTGAATACGACATTGGTGTCAACATCATTACTCGCTGGTAGTCAAGTTGTCAGGTTGCTGCTCATTGCTGTAGTTGTAGGATAGGCTGTAGGGTAGATAGGGCGCCTGGCGCCATTCACAAGAGAGCTACATTTGGGTTATGCTGTTGGTGTTGCCCTGTTGGTGTTGCCGTGTTGGGCATGGACATTGACTCACGATTCTTCTGTATCATTCTCAATGGGATGATGGTTACTCGGTTCCATGTGCTATCTGCTTTGGCTTTGAATACTTGGACATCAGTGTGATTTTGCATAGTGGATTTCTGTGCTTCGTCCATACTCATGTTCCTTGCACAGAGACCACATGGTGCTCTTTCCAAAACCGAAAGGACAATTGTGTGAAAATTAGTGAAATCAAGACCTTGAAAGTTGAAAGTTGGAGCCTGTCAACGAGGAGTTTGACTGAAAAAAAAAAAAAAAAAAGCTGAAACTGACACAAACTGATGTACCATGTGTATGAACATCTAGCACTGACGACCCCAATCCTCTAGAACTTCTCAAAAAAAAAAAAAAAAAAAAAAAAAAAGAAGAAGAAAGCAGTCATCGAAGTACTGGTTAACAAGGATGCAGCATTTCCAAAAAAAAAAAAAAACATTGCAGGAAACCTATCCAGATCAGAAAGCCGACAAATAGGGCTTTTGGCTCAGGTCCTAGGGACTCTGTGCAGCAACAAAGGGAGGGAGGGAGGGAACAAACTCAGTAGAGAATGCATGGCCGACGAGTAAACCAAGCGCAATGTGGGGTTGACTTCAACGTCTTCGTCGACAGACAACACAGAGCGGTGAACTTGGCCATCGAACGTCACTGTTCGAAAGAGTTTCATTGTGCGATAGTGCTCTTTCTTCTCTTGCCATAGTGCTCTTTCTTCTCTTTGCCATAAAATAACCTCTCATTGAAGAGTTGCACATAGTGACACATAGAACGACTAACAATCTCGCGTGTATACTTCATGCCGGTCTTGTCTGACGTGCACGCACCTTGTTATCATAGAAGAGAGGTTGACGGAAACGCAGCCGGAACAAACCAAGCACTATTGAGCCTGACTCCGTCGACCGCGGATCTGACTCAGCAGGATTTGCCACATCGCCAACGAGTCAGCGGCAATCGCGCGCCCGCGCATCACGACAGGTCACTGTGACAATCATGTGGAGAATGGCACTGTGTTGGCACAGCTCAGCTAGCTATACATCGTAGGATGCTGCCAGTGATGGTGACGACGAAGCTGCAGCAATGGCAACAACGTTGCCGAAAACTTTACTACGGACAGGTCTTAGAGGGCTCGTAGCCAGCGTGCACCTCTCCAGACCTTCCCCGCTAACACCAACCGGACATAATCGAGATGCTATCTACCTTTTTGAAGGCTTTTCCTCCATAAAGCCGCCGCCCTCCCCCCACGTACGCCATTCATATTGATACATTTAAACCACCAGTACATGGCCCCAGGCAACTGGAGAACCTGTTTTGAGCCTCTCCTAAAATTTAGAAGGCCGAGCGTTGTTGATAAAACGGACGGCGGCCTCCGAAACAGGGCCGCGGGCGGCCTATAGCTGGCATGGACTGGTGCTTCAATGAGGTTCCTGACATGTTCTCTTACTGCACACCTCTGCTGTCACAAGCTGAGCCATTACCCATATAAATCTAGGAGTGGCACGATGCCCCATTGAGGAATAGCTGGGCCCCATCCCCGTTCCACTCCCGATCAAAGCCAGGTCTAACTCAGCGCACGCAAGGGGAGGTCAGCTGACCCCCGTTCTCATCCCATTGAGTGACAGGTGACTCCCCCCAACCCCACAATCCACGGTTAAACTCAGCCCACACCAGGGGGGTCAGGATGTTGTGGAGACAAAAGATGTCTGAGAGTGGAGCAACAATCGAATCCGCGACAGCTCAGCGCACAGCAAGTCGGCGCATTGCAACAGTGATAACCCTAGTTAAACACGGAACAGCCCCGTCTCCAGAGGGTAGATGGATGCGCCACTGTCATCCCCTCGTCGTCGTCTTCTTCTTCTTCTCCCCTGCTCCGGCCTTCGTCGCAATTGGCCCTACCTCCTGTCCTCCGGCCCGAGAGAATGCCCTGAACCGGAACTCAAACTTGCAGATGGAACTGGAACTTGCAGATGGAACTGGAACTTGCAGAAGGAACTGGAACTCGCAGAAGGAACTGGAACTTGCAGATGGAACTGGAACTCTCAGATGGAACTGGAACTTGCAGATGGAACTGGAACTTGCAGATGGAATTGGAACTCTCAAATGGAACTGGAACTTGCAGATGGAACTGGAACTCTCAGATGGAACTGGAACTCACAGATGGAACCACTTCTCAATTGCTAGTGTTCGGACTTTGGCAACAAGAAGGGACCCAAAGTGGGACTACTACTAAAGACATGAAGGCGGAAGTTTTACACACTTCAAATTCAAAGTGGGTAGAAGCTGACACCTCTATGGGATGTTGCTCTGCTCAAACTGTTAGTGGAATGAGAACATGATACAAAGGGCGGCACTGCGGCACTGTGTCGTGCCATCACTTTTTTACAAAATGCACACCCTTCTCAATGCTTGCTCGCAGTTCGGGAATCGCCTTTGCCAGGCCCATTCTGCACAAAATTCGACAGCATAAACGGGAAACCACGTGGAATCGAACGCAGAGGTTAATAAGAAAATTGGACAACATAAACGGGAAACCACGTGGAAACAAAGATGGAAGGTTGGCCACGTCAGTGTGGTTAAGCGCCAAGTGCCTACACACCCGTCTGCCGCCAGAGCGGGACAATTGCACAAATATATTAATATAGTCTATAAACGGATGGAGGGTATAATGCAAGACACTTGCCGAACGACAATCACACAAAGAGTGCGTCTTGTCTTGTTCGCTAAATGTGTTTGCAACTTTGCGTGTGTGTTAGATTTTCACCACAACAGCCCCTGCCCTGTTTCACCCAGATGAGTAGATCCAAAACCAAAGCACACTTACCTCTGTTACAGACAATGAAGCACACTAATGATAATGATGAATCAATCCAACGATGAAAACATTGTACCTCCAGACGACGCAACATGGGGCAACATAGATCCATTATATCCCTTTCTTAACTATCTTTGCTCTGGCTTTCTTTGGGCTACCCATTTTATTTGATTTTATTTGTGTGTGTGTCGTCATATTCGCTAGTATACACAACTCCACAAACATAAGCAGGACTGTTTCGTGTGTGTGTCTGCGTCGTCATATGCTTTGTGTGTGTGTCTGCGTTGTCATATTCGCTATCCGCTCAAAAAACGCATGACTGAGCTAGACTGTTTTTTCGTCGGGCTTTCACCGACTCATCAGGAGGTTGAAACCCGACAGACAGTCTGCCAGTCTCACACCAACCTTGCAATCCTAGCGGGTCTGAACCTGGTCCAAACCCTTGAGAAGAACAGTGGTAAGTCTGAGAAACTAATCAAACACAGTCAAAAACCCACTCTACACACCCACTCAGCCATGGACACCCAATAGCATCACCACTAGTAGTGTGTGTGTGTGTGTGTGTGTGTGAGAGAGAGAGAGAGAGAGAGAGAGAGAGAGAGAGAGAGAGAGAGAGAGAGAGAGAGAGAGAGAGAGA